ACAATATATTAAATCAATTCTCTTGTTCAAACAATTAATCTTCATACTCAAATACTTGATTGACTGGCATAGATTCTTGACTTTCAATTTCTCACTGAGTATACTCACTAGTCAATCAGCATTCTCAGAAGCTTCAGATATGATGTTGAGATTATCAATGTAGATTATTATATAGAGATGACATCTGAATATATGATATCAGAGTGCTGAATCATGAGTACTGACTGTAAATTCAAGATTACTTAACAGAGCTGTTAAGTAATCATACTAGATCTTTATCACAGAGTTCAGACTGTATAGACTACTCTCAACTGCACAGACAAGTATTTTCAGTGAATCTGTCTCAAATTCAGTAGATTGTCTCATATAGACCTTCTTAATGAGATGCTCATGAAGATATATTATCACTATATTTACTTAATGAAGTGTTCAACTGCATAGTGCTGCTATTGCAAAAAGAATACAATTGACAGTATCAGTGATGACTGAAGCATAGATCTCTTCTCTAGAACTCTTCTTAAGTCAGTTATCATAAATCACTCAATGTGATTTTCTAAGAATATTATCAGAATCAGCATTTGAGTCTGCGGGCCTATCTTTCTCAAGAAATACTCAACAGTCTGAAGCAATTGATTCACTTCTCAGAATATCAGATCTAGAGATTAAACTTCATATATTACATCTCTTCAGATTGATAATCTCATGTTATATGAACTTCTTTTAATAATCTTCTACTCTCTCTAGCTGAGATGTGACATTCTTATAGAACTTCAGAAGATTATCTGTAATAAGACTTGAAGTGTAAGTAGTCAGTGATTTCACAGACTGTAATTATATAGAATTCAGATTATCAATATTAGAAGCATCTTCATCATCAATCAGATAAATATCAGGTTCTGATTTACTGACATTGTTAATGAGTGTCACAGATGTGACAACTGATTTAATAACATGATTAATGAGTTTCACAGATGTAATAACTGGTTTTTCAGTGATTGAGAATCTCACATCACTACTGACAATAATCTTGTCAGATTTGAGATGTCATAGATGATATATCAATGTACCACTGAATTCAATGATATGATAGAAGTCAGCACATGAAAAGAGCTTATTTACAGGCTACTGAGATTCATGCAAGTGAATAAAAACCTCTGCACTTAATCAGTGAAAATGCCTCACATTCAGTGAGATATTTGTAAGTGCACATTAAGCAATCTTATGTGAACTTGAAATCACAGAAATCTCTGCAGTAGAGGATCAAAATTTCAAGTTATAAAGAACTGTAGATATGAGAGTATTATTAATTATTATAATTACTGTCTCTAGAACATCTGCTCAGAACTTCTTAGAGAGATTATCTTTTAAAAGAGCAGCTCTAATTCATTTCATAATAGTACAGATTTCACATTCGGAAATATTATTCTGATGTAGTGAATATAATGCTGTTGATTCTCATTTAATATCATATGAATTCATAACTGTGTGTATACATGTGAATTGAAAAACATCATCAATATCAGTTCATAGAAAAGCAGAGACTGTATACTCAAGATTACTTATAAATCTGAGTCATAACTCAAAGTATTGAACAGTCTCATTCTTGAACTTTAAAAAATATACTCAACAGTAGTGAGTTGCATCATAGATGATAAGCATTCAGTATTTAATTCTCTGATAGAACTCTAAGAAGTGATCAGAGAGATCTTTCAATGTATGTTCATTATCTACAAGATTAATATAAATCTTCTCAATGAGTCAGATAGATCTAGGCATCAGTATTTTTAAATAATCTCATATCATATCTATCTTAACACATTTCTTACAAAAGAACTTAGTCTTAGAATCTTTAATTATGACTTCAGTATAAAGATTCTTGATCATAGCAATTATAGCATCAGTGTGAATGTAACTGAGATCACAGTATCAGTCTAAAAGAGTCTTTGATATTCTTGTATTCTTGAGACCTGTATTCAGAACTGTAGAATCAATGTTATTAACAGTAGTAACAGCAGTCACAGAAAGATTAACTTTTCAGTTAAAATTATACTTATATAGCATTATAATATACTTGACTGCCTTGTTCAGATAATTGAAATTCTCATTGAACTCTTATTCATTGACCTTATATATGTTGTTCTGAACAGTCTGAACTGTATAAAAAATAACACTGTTCAGAGCTCTGCAAATGAAAAATGAGAGAATAGTGAAAGATAATGTAAATTGAAATCTCTGATCTTCAAGCTTTATAAATGAGAGCAGATTAACTGTAATATTAGAGATATAGTGAACATTCTATAAGTTAATATCATCACTCTCAATCTCTAAAATGATAGTTTCAATTTTCTTGATAAACTCAGTTCTCTCAGTTGTAGAATTGACAGAGATGTTATCATTAAAAGATTTGATATTTAAAAAAGAATAAAGCTCATCTGTCATATTCAGGCTTACACATGTATTCAAATATCAAGATCTAGAGAATGATTTTTCAGTGACTGTGAAAGAGAAATAGAACTCAATCTTTATAATTACTGTATTTACTGCTGATTAAAAACTTATCAAGTTATTCTTCTTCTCTTTCTTCTTATCATTCTTCTTTTTCTTTTTATCAGAGTGTAAGATAAAATATCTGTTAATAGTATGTTCATGTCTTCTGCAGTGAGTGCACTTTCATACAGATATACTTTTCTTCTCATCTTTATTCTTATCTTTATTCTTATTCTTTTTCACAGTCACAGAATCAGTCTGAGACTGCTTTTTTCACTCAGTGATAATCTTCTTAAATGTATGATTGATCAGTTACTTCTAGACTAGCCGCTGAGACTATGAATTTCACGTTTGATCCCATTTGGTCTGGTTCCATACATTTCTTGGCGTGAATCCCGCTGGGACTGGCTATCAAAAAAACAGGTAAAGTGACTATATATCAGATCTTAAAATGGAACCATGACTTGAAAAAAATGAGAAAGTGATTCCATTTGGTCTCATTTAGTCTCATTCTTGACATAAAGTTACTATTTTTAGACATTTTAAGGTTTTTTTTAGACTATTTTTAATTTTTTAAAAAGTAATGCTTTTTGATAACACTCAAATAAGATTTAAAGTCATTTAAAGCAATAAAAATAATTTAAATTGAGAAGTGAAAATCATGATCTTATTTGAAAAATGTGACAAGAGTAGACAGTAAGTCTCACTGAGACAGTATGAGACTACTATCTAATGTTAAAACCGTGTAATAAGATCAGTTGAATTGATAATGAGACTATCAAAAAATCTGGTCCTGGTCTCAGACACGGTCACACAGTCAGTCTAGTTACTTCATTAAATTATTAATATTAATATTAATAATGAGTTTCTGATCAGTGAAGAAAAACTCATTTAAATATATCTTAATAAATAATCTTTAATAATTTTATAGATTATTGAGAAAAAGATTATAATATACATTCTCAGTGCTCTGACAGAGCTTCTTATAACAGATAATAAGATAGCAGAAATATCTCTGAAAAGTAAGATAATCATTCTTCTTAACTTGTAATTTTATTAATTTCTTGAAGATATTAACTTGTTCTTCTATCAGTGATATTATATATTTAATATTAATCTTATCTCACAGAGCTGCAGTATTATCAGCTTCTAAAGTTTTAACAGTGATTCAAATGTTTTTAATAAGACTTGATAGTATATATCTATATAAAGACTTAAAATAAATTCTTTACTTCTCAGAGTTAATATAATATATAAAAGAGAATTCTCATTAAGTTCTTAATAGAATATCAGTTTTATTAATAACTTCTGTATCAGTTAATATATCAATATATCAGACTTTATAATTAGAGTTATCAAATATAATCACTGATTTAATATCTAGTGTATATTTAACTTTCTTCTGATATTTCTACAACTCATCTCTTATAGTATCTCTTTATACAGAGATAGATATAGTGAGATATTAAGTGATTTCAACTGCAGTTATCTAATTTCATAGTATTATCTATATAAGATTTATAAGATTGCCTGTGATGTAATAGATAGATTGATTCAGATTATTATTAAAAATCAGTATTCTAAGAGTAAGAAACAGTGAAGAATTCAAAGAGTTGAAATAAATAGATTCTGTAGATAAGTGTTAACTCTACTTTTCTTTATTCTGAAGTTTCTTCATTATCTCATTATTATCAAATTTCATACTCTGATGAAAACTGATCTCAGTCTTATCTTGCAAGTCAGAAGCTTTCTCATAATAAGTGATTATTCTATTAATAAGTTATTTAGTGAAGTATGTGATTCTAAGTCTTGAGCTGAACTCTGAAGTAACAGATGTATTACTTATATTAAGATAACTCTGCTTCTTCTAGATATATAAAAAAAAAAAAAAAAAAAAAAAGTGATATTCTTTACAATGAAGAATATACTTTCTTAAAAATATAAAGATATAAATCTGCTAACTGACAGATTCAGAGAAAATAAAATATCTCTAATAAAGAGTAAGAGTCTTTTTAAAAAAGATAAACTATTCATGTTAAAAATATTAATGCAATGTTCTCAAAAGAAAAACATGTCATTCAGGCTATAACCTGTACAATAGTTGAAGGTTGTGTATTGATAGATCTATCTACAGGAACATAATATAGTGGTGGGTCACGTGATCTAGTGGGATCGCTAACCGCAACGGCCGTAAGGGCCAACACATGTATAGTTACTCTGGTAAGTTGGGGTGTCAGGTCACGTGATCTGGCTTATTAATCCTTCCACCATATAACTTTCCACAAGCTAGCAACCTTTCAATCACACAAGCTTTACACCTTCCACATTGAAATGATGCTACTAAGTGTGCTGCCGCAGTATGATGCCGAGGTCCGCCAATTGCAGTCAATCTTCTATGGATTATTCATCACACGTCTCTCACATAATCTGTCATTTTTCCATGCCTTGTATGGGAAGCCTTCCGCATGGATACAACGCAAGCTCAAACTTGCGGGCATGCTGGACAAGCGGCCCCAGTTGGCTAAGTAAACTTGCCGAAACATGTCTGCCAAGCGACATCTGATAGAAACCATGGCCGCTACCTGCCACTCTGTGGTGTCCCCGACTCTGCATCAAGCACCAAGTTAGATGCCCTCATCTCCCCCAGGGTCTTTTTCTGTGTTTGAGGATCTGGAGGCTATCCAAACAAGCACCAACTGTCTAAGTCATGATTTAGTGATGTGCAGTGAAGGTGACCAGAGGGTAAATATGAGGGGTGGGGGAGGAGCTAGTGTTGACAAAGAAGAAGAGGAAGAAATTGACATGAAGTTACTAAAAGTTAGCACATTGAGAGTTGCTGCAGAAGTTGTTGAGAGGCTAGAAGGGCTGGACATATCAGTGACCTTGAAATATCTGACATCTGGCAGATATAATCATGTCTAGCTGTTGACATATCTCCCAGTTACTAGCACTCCAAGATCTACCCCTTCACCCCTCCATATAGCACATAGTTGTAAGGTTTGTCTTACATGTTGTATAGGAAACGACTGTGGAAAACACACAAACCCCACTAGTGAGCAAATTAGAAAGCTCGTACTTCGCATTCCCAAGGAATCAACCCAGCCTCTTCACCTGTATCAACTGCGTCACGAGGTGGCCTATCTCCAGTACCTTGCTCAAAAGGTACCTGAGATTCCTGCACTGAGGGTTCTTCTCTGGCATGATCAAGCTGGCCAGCCTTTTATAGCTGAGGAGTTTATTGAGGGACAAGCGCCTGAGCGTTGCGTGGCCACAGCTCCCTGAGGATCAGAAAAAGTCAGTTAGTTATTATTCAAAGTGCTGCTGATGTAATTTCCAGACTTGGGGGGACAAGATTTGATTTCATTGGAGGCCTTGACCCGGATGCCCATTGTTTTCCGGGTTCCTTTTTCCTTGATGACCTTCCGTTGGGCCCCTGCTTTCTTTTCCCCTGTGTTGTTGAAGGGAATAATTGCTTATCATGTTCACAGGCCAAATTCCACCCTCGTGACTGTCATAATATTGGCCCATCCGTGAACAGCAAGGATTATATCCTCTCCTGCTACGACCGGGAGATATATTATGATACCCATGCAAACAGGGATGAAATTCTACTAGAAGCCTTTGAAAAATGTCAGAACTGCCAAATTCATCAACTTCCTACACCTTGAGAAACAGAACATCTCAAAAGACACTGATCTATTTGAAGCTCTCAATGCTGAACCCCAGGTCCTAGTACATGAAGACTTCCATGCAAAGTACCATGCTCATTCGCAATGGACATCTTGTGGGAATTGTGGACTGGGAGTTCTCCGGGTGTCTACCTGCTTAGTGAGTTGTTGGGCATCATTCAGATTGTTCAAGTATCCCCACTAGGCTAGAATGGGGTGATATAGGAGGAAGAGGGAGGAGCGGGACAGGCAATATTGCCAGGAGGTGGAAAAGGTTGTTCAGCAGAGAGGGTGAATGGAGGAGAGAGAATGTGTCAAGATCCTTCTGGGAGATGGTTGGCCGGCTTCTCAGATGGTTTGCATGGTGATGTTCCCGGATGAATGATGATGGTCATGCGGGGGGAGGGATGAATGGGGTGAAGAATGGGATTGTGTTCTAAGGAATCTCGTGATAGACATGCGTATGCATTGGGAATCTGCTGGCTGAAGGAATGCACCAACTACTATCTATATTTCCCTACATTTATCTTCTGTGTTGCGCTGCTTCTCTAATTTTGCTGCGAATCCTCCGTCGTCGCGGGCTGGACTGGTCAGAAACCATTTTGTCTGTATTGCTTTGCTTGAAACGAACTACCTACCTAATACAAGCCTACATGTACCAAATTGTCCAAAATCTCAAGCGCATAAGAGGTTCGATGAATATGTCTGAATTTCTTTCAATCTTAGTTTTGTATAGTTTTCAATAATTGGCCCAATTGGTAACAATGCTAAATATTTTACTCGAAGAATGTCTCCGTTGAAGAAGCCGGAAGCGTTGTTATTCCTATAGTAAGTATATAAAAATATTTTGGCTGCGGAGGGCTTTTTTGAAGCATCCGGTTTTCCACTGGAGCAAGGTCGTTTCAAGAAACATAAAAATTTCAGACACTGAAACCTAAAACATAAAATCACAGACGAGCAATGATTGCCTAGGTAACTGAGCTCTGATGTTTACTTAAAGAATTGGTAAGTTTGAGAAGCTTTTGGTCAAAACCTTGGAAGTCTACCGCGTACAAGAGGAAAGTTTTCAGGGGGGTAACAGAGGAACCATGGGCAAGGTAACTAATAAATAATAATACAAATAATGTAAGTACTGACTGATGAGGAAAGCCTCTGCTTGTAGAATTTTCTACTTAACCTCATGCACAATCAATCAATGATAATCACTTGCTCTCATTACTACATCAGATAGCATGGTAGAATATTTCCAAATATCTCTGCAGATAAAATAGTGAAATTCTATGAAAAAAGTTATTTTGAAGATGCATTGTATTAGTTGTCAAAACAATTGATTCTTCCTCATTTTATATATTCAATACAATAAGTAGTGACAACATTCGTCTGTGCAATTGAATATAATCAGTATAAAAATTGGCTGATTCTCACGAGAAAGGTCGCACGGAGAGCTTGTTTCTCATATCCGCAAAAATAGAGGACAGGACAGCAGCTAGGTCACCGACCTTCGAAATATGGATAGAACCTCCGTCAGCCGCCGTGTAATGATAGCACTGACGTTCAAAAAGTAAGGATATTAATTCAAAAGCGTATTCCATTCAGCATTTCGCAGTTGGGGTTGTTCTGGACACGCTACTCATCTTACCTGTATAATCTCATGAGCAGGTTTTCTCAAGCGCGAACAAGGGCAAGGGTTAATCTGCAGTTCTTTTTGATTTCTTTTAATTATTTAATCAGTAACTCCTTTCCCCTTTTTATTTCAGTTTTGTTGTGTTGCTGCGGTTGGGATTGCCCGAAAACAAAACAGGGAAGCTTTCGGACTGGATTTGAAACCTTGACCTTAAACAAAACCCTGATTCTGATCTGATGTCTGTCATCATGATCCAAGGAACATCTAACCGAGCATAGCATATTATTACATACGGAGAACAGATACAGCATTATTTATTATTATTTAATATTATTATGGGGATGGCATGCACAAGGACAGGAAAGACATCCATGCAACCATCGTCACGACCCTTCATCAGCAGCTGCTTGACAAAACCAGGATATTAATAGCCACAGCCACCGTGAAGAGTTCAGCAACAGATCGGATCAGATCCCCCCCCCCCATTCTTTTGCCACAACCCTTGAAGGCCGAGGGCAGTTAGTTAGAACTTACGCTGTAACTGTGTAGGAGCCACGCCACTGAGCAGTTCTGCCTGACCAGTGATTGGACACTTGTCCGGGCGACGACACTCGTAGTTTGTTTTTTTTTTTTGTTTACCGCCAGCGAACCAGGCACGTTCTGGGCCAATCCGTGGGCGTAGAACTGGTAATGGGATTGATACAAGCCATTACAAGCTTCACGAACGGCGGCCAAACCGGGGCTGTTATTGGTGGCCAGACCGTCTGTTGTTTGCTGGTTCCTGGCTTGGTTCCTGGCTGGTAAACCCTAACCTCCACTCCCTAACCCTACCTAACTAACTCCCCGTAACTAAACTATCTAGGTTAACTAGTAACTAGGTACTAAAAAAGTAACTAATAACAACGACTAATTACTGGCCCGCCCTTTTCGCTCTTCGCTCTTCGCTGTTCGCTGTCTGTTGTTCGCTCTCTTCTCCTCTCTTCCTCTCTCGTTCTTTCTTTCTTTCTTTCTCTCTTCTTTTCATCCTCATCCTCCATCCAACTATCTCACCTCCTCTTATCGCTTGTCATTCATTCTTTGCAGGTATCAGCTTCATTCCTTCAGCTGATCGCCGTGCTGTTTATTCCTTCGCTAACTATCCCCTCTTCACCCCTAATTTAATTTATCGCCCTTGTGTCTCTAAGAGAAGAAAAGGGAGAAAATCAAAAGGGAGAAAAACCACCTGCTTGGCCCTCCTCCCATCACGCTCCCTCGTCCCTCTTATCGGAAAATAAAAAAGAATACAAAGCAGCAGGCCCTTGTGATATATTCCTTCGAGATCGTTAATACCAACCACCCTCCCTATTTGTGCGCGTCTACAGTTTGCTTTCGCGGATGGCGGATGTGTAATTAACACTTCGAGCAAGGACCCGTTGTCGCCAACACTTCTTATACTATTACCGTCACTCCTTCCTTATTATCCTAGATTCGACATCTAGTTATCTACAATTCTAATTCGCTCTATTACGGAAAAAGAATAAAAATAAAAAATAAAAAACAAAAACGCCAAAAGGACATCCACCATCCTATTCAACTTTATTGTTTACAAGATATCCACCGAAAACACAACGGAAAACCTTCCACCCCTAAATCGATGGATGCGCTACGACACCTAACCGCCCGCGGTAATGACAATGACAACAGAAACGACAATGACAATGGTGGCCTAAACTCCTCAAGCGTAAACCTCCTAATCTCCCTCCTAGCCCTAATCCTCCTCTCCATCGCCCTCATCGGTTCCTACCTCGTCCTCCGCCGCAGGCGCCAAAAACAACAATCAGAACTGCCCCTCTACCAAGACCACCGGCACAACAGCAGCAGCAACCGCCGCCAACGTGGCCGCGGTCTCACCATCTCCGCCTCAAACAGAGACTCCGTCTTCCTCATCGGTGAGAAGGGCTCAAGCTCCCCGTCGTCCTCCTCCTCATCGTCGCTAAGTCCACCATCCAGCCCCGTGCCGGAGATCCGCATCACATTCCCTGAAGAGGAAGATGCGGCCGGGAAGCGGATGAGTGGGCGCGTGGTTGTTGTGCGCATTAGTGAGAAGGGGGGCATTGGATTGGAGCCGCTAGATGAAGGGAGGGAGGATGGTGGCAGGAAGGAGGGGGATGAGGATTTGCCGCCATATCAGCAGCGCCAGCCCGGTGGGAGCGGGAGCGGGAAGGGTGGTTCTACGGAACGGTTTCAGAGTCTTGACTTAGAGAGGATGGGCGGATTGAAGGAGAAGGAGATGGATGAGAAGAGGTGGGCGTAGTGGATTGGATTGGGTTGAATTGGATTGGATATGAAAGGATATACATACGTTCACGAACGAGGATTCGATTTTATCACTTCTTTTTATATTTGGTTCCGTTTCTCTATCTCCCCCCTGCCCTCTTTTATGGCTTGAGGGGCTTCGGGCTTGGGGCTTTTCTTTTCTTTTCTTTTCTCTCCCTCTATTTTCTTTTTTCTTCTTCTTCTTCTTCTTCTTCCTTTTCTTTTTCTTTCCTATACTCTCATATCTCCAACGAGTCTGCAATATTACATACAAAACTATTTATCCTTTTTAAGTTACCTCTGAGTTTCAACACCAACAAACAACACAAACAAACATCCGCGCGTGCATCCTCAGCATTTGCCTTACTTGTTAAGATGAGGGGAAAGGGACCGACCGCCCTCTTTCAATTTCACCCGTAAGGGATGTATACAGAGTATAGCGGGGGCATTAAGTTTGAAACCCGCTAACCTCTGGCCGCCGAGATCATACTAACCACATAACGTTAATATCTAAATGGCTGCTTTTCATGATCATATTACTAATATTTTGTATACCTGTCATGGTTATATAGAGCTGCGGGTCGGGGCTCAGAATACGGAGTACTATGCAGTGGATGGATGGGAATAACAAAGAGCTGGATATTCAGTATAAAATACCGTGTGAATTTCCGCCAAGGTTTGTCGCCCCAGAGCAAAACAAAATTAATATAGAGTATATATTCAACTGTTATACTGATAATTTCATTAATAGAGATGAAAATGAAGTTCAACTCAAGCTGAGATATTTATTACTATTATCAGAGATAATTATAAGAAAAAATAATCAAGAAACTTATAATTATAAAATATAGAATTATCAAACAGTTTAATATCTCTAATCACAGTATATCAGAGAAGTGTAGTTTTCATAAAAAAGTAAAGAATAAACTTATTGTAAGAAATCCCGCTCCTCGCGGATTCTTTACCCCTATTCCTATCTCTCATGTAATCAATAGGGCTAGCGGCCCTTGGCTACACATAACTATATAGACTGGAGTTCATGAATACTATTCATAACTCAGCTTGAATACTATTATATATTTAATTTCTATATTTTATCTTTCTATCATGAACACTTCTAGTAGTTAACAGTATATATCATATCAAGCTATAAACACCTGAATAATCACCTATGAGCATTTATTCTTATATTTCAAGCTCAGTCAGTCAGCAATCATCTGTTATAACTGAAAGAACTAGAAACTTATATACTTTAATCTCTGTAAACTCTACTACAGACACTCAGAAGCAGTCATTTGAATCATGAATAACTTCTATAAAAGAAGTCTCAGAGAACTTATCAATTACTTATAAGATATTATTCTCTGTATCTATGACAGAGAAACTCTTCAAACTTATAAATAAATCAATTTTAGTGAAGAACATTCTTAAGTATCTCTTATAAAATCAAGCTATTTTTCTATAAGAAATGCTTACTATTTGTAAACACTCTTAAACTGAGTCTCTAGATATAATCTTCAGAGATATCTATAAACTGAAAAGAAACTTTCTTAAGCTGTAATTACTTAAGACTACTTATCAAATCATAATTTATAAAAGCTTTTATAAGTTTGTATTTAAAATTAACTTACAAGCTCAGCTATATAATATGAAAGATAAAGAAGCTATTATCTATATAATAACAGATCTCTATTATACTGAAGTTAAGAACTGACTGAATTATCTAGAGAATAACTATAAGAGATCTCACTAATTTATTCTCAAGATCTATCTAGAGAATAAGTTGAAGAACTCTGTGAGTCAGACAGAGAATATCTGAACTGTGATTATTAATATTAGAAAAAGAGATAAGAAATCTGATGAAGACTACTCACAGTACTTTATAAAATTATAATATAAATTAAAATCTATGAAAATAGAGCTCTGAAACAAGATCTGAATAATAATATTTATAAAGAAGCTGAATAAAGATATATAGAATAAGCTTATTAAGTAAGACTCTAAGTTCTTGACTCTGAAGAAACTGATAACTTTTATTTATTACTTACAGATCACTGTAAG